GATGAAGAATTATTGACACTCGACGAGGAGGAAGTTGAAGGACCGACGCGGCGCGGGCCCCAAGATCCGGATGAGGAGACCGGAGACCGGGTCCCTCCTTTGATTGCGGTTTGCGGATTATAGTCATCGACGGTGCACGGAGACGGGGCCGAAACGCTGTTGTCAACGGCGGAAATGTTGCGGAAATCAGAGTAGACGGTCTCGTCTGAGTAAACACGTCGATGAAGTTCCATCGCGATAAAAAAATATCTGATTCGTGCGAAGGAGGTGATAATATAAGGTAAAGGTCCCAAAGAAAAAAAAAGTCGATAAATGAGAAGAATAGCTGTGCTGAAGTAGAGGATATGTTGGGTAAAATTAGAGTAGACGGTCTCGTCTGAATAAACACGTCGATCAATTTCCATCATGATAAAAAAATATCTGATTCCTGCGAAGGAGGTGATAATATACGGTAAAGGTCCCAAAGGAAAAAAAAGAAATTAAAAGTCGATAAATAATAAGAATAGCTGTGCTGAAGCAGCGCATATGCTGCGCTGAATGGAAAAGCAGATGACTGTAATTTTGTAAATTTCATGTTTAAAATAAAACCACTGAGAGCACTGAGCACGAGAATATCTTTGATTTCTAAATTGAACAATTTTTGGAGAAAATATGACAAAATAACCTTATCTGCTGACATACATGTGCTTAATGGGAAATGCCGACAAATGACGTCACACTTCCTCCCTTTTAAATGTGTTTTTCTATTATTTCCCATTTCAGACAAAATTTATGAAAATTCGCTGCAAATTCAGCGCATTAAGCGCTCTCAGATTTTTTACGACTAATTTTACAAGTCATGTTGAACCGATGAAAATCCAAGCTACACTACAGTTTTTTTTTTATCCCTGGTTATACCATGCCGCCGCGGCTGGCGAGAAAATTTGAAAATGCCGGTGTTTAACATTTTTTCTAACATTTTTTCTTATCAATTCTTTCAATTTATATTGGAAAATAAGTTAATTGGTCATCGTGAGCGCAAGTGGGAATTGAATCAACGATGCGCCTACAATCGTGTAAGGTAGGCCACAATCGCTCCTTTGAGTACGTTTAGTTGTGTTCTTAGGTTCAAACCTAACTGAGCTATTTTCTGCTGCTTTGGCGGCGAGGGCAGCGAACTATGCGGTAGTTGAATCAATCTACAGAAATGCCGAATCCCTCTCTTCATCTTTCGTCGTATCTTAAACCATATTTTGGGTTGAAATACACGAAAATAACGGCCGTTACGCAAAAGCTCATGAAATTCAAAATAGTTATTTTTGTAAGTCTCACACCGTTTTTCCCAGCCGGGCACTGCCTATACGATCGAGTTAAAAACCAAGCTACACTACAGTTTTTTTTTATCCCTGGTTATACCATGCCGCTGCGGCTGGCGGGAAAATTTGAAAATACCAGTGTTTAGGAAGGTTTTTGTCTTTTTTGCGGACCTGAACAAGAAAATTGGGGACTTTCGAAAATATTGGGGACACCCTTCCAAAATCGGGGATAGTCGGGGACAGTGGGGACTTTCAGGGACCGGTTGACACCCTGAAAATTTATTTTAGAAGTGAGAGATCAATGAGAAAAGGACGATCTCCAAAATATGGCAACGAAGGTAGATTTACACGGGAAGGGACGTCGCGTCGTTTGGGTCGACCCGTCCATTTAACGATATAATCACTCGTCTTGACGTCCGCGTCAACTTCTTAGATTCGAGTTCGGGGCCTCGTTAAGTCCTCGAGATTTGCGTCTTATCTCGAAATAATTACGTCCCCGAGTCCGGAGTCACTGGCTGGAGGATCGCCTCTCGGAAACACTTACGCCCCACTTCTTGTGTTTCTTTGAGCTTTTGACCACGTCCACGCTGATCTGACGACGAGTTCCGGGAAATCGCCGTTCCTCTAACATAAAGGCATATCTCAGTTTTCTTGTGACCCTTGCTCTCCATATAACTCTACGCTTTCGGAGGCTTATGAAGAAATTGAGTTACGCCCTCACGTTAGAGGAAAGGCGAAATGATCCGACTATGCTCCTTGTCTTGGGCAAAAGACGAAGAACAAAGAGGAGACATCTGAGAGGCAGACGCTGGTTTATTCCATCACTCTTTCCACTTAAAAGGGACCCTTGATGAAGAGAAAAATGAAAAAAGTTGGTTTTAATGGGTCAGTTGCGCTGATAACAGAATCGCGTTTTGATGGTTTAAGCTTATAGATTGGCAAGAAAAAAAGAAACTATATCAAACGTCGCGTTTTTGAGTCTGATATTAATGGAGATATCCCTCACGGATTAATATGACATCATACACCGCGGTAGGGCGAACCATGGTTTCTTTTACCTTGGACTACAATAGGGAGCTACAATATCTGACTTATCCGTGAAAGCCCCTATCTTCATGGGGAAACTAATGGCACATACGTCGTTTCTAAAATGAGCCAGAAATATTGGTTCCTTGTTGAAGAATGTAGTCCAATTGATGGCGCTGGTTGCTCGACGTGAGACATGGATGAAACCAAGGTATGCACTACCGCGATGAATGATGTTATACGCCGTGTTCTCTGATCAATGATCGTTCGTTAATATTGAACGTATCGTAAGCGTTCTGGCAAATTTCATTTATTTTTGCACATCTGTAAGCTTAAAGATTCAAGATACGATTCTATGGCTACACCAACGGACCCATACTTGTAACTCGGAGCCCGATTTGCGTACTGATTTGATTTGATCAGGAATACTGTTCGAGTGAGAATATCTTCACGCAAAAGGAGTTAAGGTACATATAATTCGATGGACACCATATTTTGTGTCAGAACGGCATGCGATATATCGCATCAACTGGTTCCATTTTTTCAGATACTCGTCATTTTTCTCAAATTTTGAGATCGCAATTCTGTTGTCGGGGGACTAAAGCGCTCACCAATTTTTACAAAGAAATTCAACGTAATAAAGGCGTGGTTTTTTTGGAGGAAAAATATCGCATTCGAGTGCAGTTTCGATATCAGTATCGAATGCTATGTTTTCTCTCTGAAAAAACCACGCCTTAATTACGTTGAATTTCTTTGTAAAAATTGGTAAGTGAGTGCTTTAGTCTCCCGACAACAGAATTGCGATCTCAAAAATCGAGAAAAATGATTAGTAGCTGAAAAAGTAGAGCCAATCGATGCGATATATCGCACGTCTTTCTGACACAAAATATGGAGTCCATCGAATCACCTTAATCTATGAAATAGTTAAAAAACTCCTATGCAAGCGTTGAATGGAAAGTTTACGGTCAAAATTCACGAGGAGCAGTGCAGAGTGTAAATCACTCTTGGCGGAGTTTATGTCCCTCTTGGTATTCACCGACAAAATAGGTGCGTGGCTATGAGTGTCGTCCACATAAAAACTCCGAAAATGTATTCCAATATTTTGAATTTTCCCCCCACATATTATGCTAGGAATTGTGATCACCATCATGCTTTATTTCGTCGATTGAAACTCTTATGAGTATGTTAAGGTGATCTAGAAAAGATTAGGGATAAATTCTCATTGCTTTTCCAGCGATCATTTTTTGTTTTTCCAAATAAGATCTGGAATGGAGCTATGGTTTTTTTGCTCTGTAAGGTAACATGGTACCCTGGGACCATAGAACTGATAATGGAAAAGGGTTGAAATTCTTCAATTTCTCTCTTTTTCCGTTTAAACGAGTTCAAAGTGGAGCAGTGCAAGAGCTTATATTGCTAATATACGTCAGTAAAGTCGGGGTGAGGTCTTACGAAGTTTACAGACCAACGGGTTAAGCGAGACTTAAGCGGATTATGGTAAAGGTGCTTTACTGTGCGCCTACGTTGTTTGAAAAATGCAAAATTGAAGACATGAAAGAAAAATAACGAAAGAGAAAATAAAAAGAGTAAGAGAAAAAGCGGGCGGAAGGCATAAAGAACAACTCCGGCTCCATTCAAATCAACTATTCCCTATTTTCCTGAATAAATTATTATTCGTGACTTTTCCTCGCGAGATTAAGCTCTAGTATTATCTCATTTTTGAAAACAAACAAAACACAAAGCTAATCTGACCATTTATATTCAGGAAATTAAGGATCAAAACTTTCGCTCTTTCTTTCCCGCCGCCGCGCCGCTGCTTCAGTTTCCGCCTTAATTGAAAGTTACGAACACAGACTGGTAATATTTGACCTCTTTCCTTGCGGCCATGTAATTAGATTTTTAAATTAACCTCTCAGAAATGTATTTTTGCGGACTACATCTTTTCTTTCATTGGATCATTACCTCGTCCTCTCTAACGATGAGTAGTCAGGGAAGATTCTTGATACAAAGAGTGAGGGACACATCTCGGAAGTCAATTTGTTTAATTTTGCAGCTAAGACTTGTATCAAGATAGCAGGCCTCCATAGTACAGGTATACAGTATGAGAAAAACCTGTGACAAGAATGGGTCAGTTGCGCTGGTCACAGAATCATGCTTTGATTCTTGATTCTTGTAGATCACCTAAAAATATTTAGATCTGTCCAAACAGAAACTTTCTACTGTATTAATTTTAATGGAGATACCGCGTTTTGAAGAAACTCCGTTTTTGACGTCATCCACCACGGTGGTGACACCCCTGGTTTCTTCCACCTTTGTTTTATCCGTGTCTTAAGTTACGCAACCAGTGCATACATACGTGTGTATCACTAATTGATGAATCCTATGTGCAGGAAACCAAGGGTCGCGGTGGATGACATCAAAAACCGAGTGTTTCAAAGCGCAATATCTCGATCAACATTGAGGGTAGAAAGTAGCTGTTTGGATAGATCTTGTTATTTTTAGCTTATCTACAAGAATTTAACATAAAAACACGATTCTGTGACCAGCGCAACTGACCCATTACTAGATTAGGGTTGTTCTACATAAGCTCTTAATTTGTCGTAGCCATAACCAATGGTAGTAGCGTTTGTAGTAGGTATTAAGTATTTTATCAAGTTGAAATTTTCGGGGTCAAATTCTTACCTGTGAGATCGATTTTCCACCGCCATATCATGATTCGCAGGAGCCACAAAATTATCCGTCGCGCTTTCATGGCGTGGTCTGAAACAAAAGACATTCGAGCGAAAATTAGATTCAGTGCAAATAAAATGAAAATAAGGCAAGAGAAAAATTATACAGGATGAAAAACTTAGTTGAACATGCAATTTCAGCTTCAGGTGGGTCGTATGACATGTCGATAGCCGGCAGGTGAATTGAAACCTGCTTGTTTGTCTTGAACAAAAAAATGTAAAATTCTGAAGTAAAGGGCCAAGATAGAAAGTACTGAAAATTATGCTTGGCGTTTAAAAAAGAGCTATACCAGCACCAGCTAAGACACTTGCGGGTACTTGAAGTGCTAACAGTGACCATAATTGGGTTTGGTTCGGATAGGCAATTAAACTAACCGTCTGAAAAAGCGGAGAGTATCATTCGGGTTTGAAGGCACTCCATGCCCGGAGTCGTGCTTTTAAAGTTATTTCCAAAATACATATTTAGTATGTCGATGGGAATTATCGAAATTTGAGGAGTTGACATATGCATACCGCTTTCAAAAATTCAAATTCAATTGAATAATCGCCTCTGGAGTGCTCAGCTTATTTTCATAAATGACATTTTCTGCCGCTCACGGAACATGCATCTGATAACTTTTCAAAAAATACATGATTTTTCACCTTACAGCTGTATTTACGGTGGCCATGCTTGGTCGGAACGAGGGAAATTCCACTTTGTCTTGCGCTCGGGCGGTAAGAAACTTTAACAAATTTATTGATCGGGCGCAAAGTTGAAGGCGCGTCAATAAGCCCCGACTGCGAGCTTTTCAGGGCCAATGCCGATAAAGGGAGCTCGCGGCGTCGGAAAGTTGAAAAGCTTTGCACTCACTCTCCTCCGGGTCGAGATGGAGAATTTCACTTTGAAAATTGCTCGAAAACAGACGTCCGCGGAGTCGCGAAGCGCTTTTTACCGGCAAACGGGAATCAGTTCGGGTAATAATTCGAGAACGCCTTTCATTGCTCCCGACTAGATTCGATTTATCAACGTCAGCGTCGACAAAACAGAGCGATTTCACCCTCAGGGTAAAAATGGAAAATTGAAGTTAAAAAGTTCTGAGAATGGGTAAACTTAGGATCCTCGAAATTACGCATAGTTGCAAATGGGGAGGGAGAGAGTGGGAGAGAGGGAGAGAGCGAGACGCATTTACACGTTGTTCTAAATACGGGAAAACTTGGGATAAATGTCGGGCGTTTAGGTTGCTTTCAATTGAGGCTCACACGGAAAAAGAGAGCGCGGGGTTGTTGGATGATATAGACATTTCCAAATAATTTTGGTAGTGCCCCCCCCCCCCCCTTCAATGAATCAGGTTACTAACCCAAATGTTGCGATACTGCCACAATGACTTTGAAATGTCCATATCATCCAACAAATGTGGGTAGTACCAACATTTTGGGGGATAACCCCTAAAAAAAAGTTCCGTGTTAGGTATGACCCACGTTGATTATGGTATTTTCACGAGCACAAAAAAATCAATATATTCAAACTTAAACAAACTTCTCTTTTAAAATTAGAATGATTAAATCTATATCTATACAGATCCGGCCGCCGCCCTGGGTTCCGCCAATCGATTTTCAGAGGCGCGGGACAAGGGGCGGCTCAGAATCCAAAGGTCGTGACGGACCTTTATTGTACAGATTCTGAAAATTATTAGTATTACTTGACTCAAAATTTTAGTGGAAAAACCATGTTAATCGGTAAACTGTAAAAATATAAATTTTGATACATTGAACTTAATCGACTCATTTCTACCAAACCAATACTACAGATTATTATTCGAAAAAAAATGTTTGTAAGTAAGAATATTCTGGCAATAAAGAAACCAAAATAATCATAATAATCATTCATTTGATTTGAATTCATCTTGTTGAGTATCGATCTACCAAAATGAAAGTGCATCAATATAGCTCTGCCTGCCCGCCGCGCCGGCGCTACCATTTGGGATGTTGCTCATTTTGATACTTAGACACACCATATTGCAAACATCAATTTTTGACAATTGATTCATCCGAAAGAGCACAACATGATTTCATTCATAGATGTCCAATCGCTGAGGAGCCTTTGATTCAAAACAGCCCTTTGATTTTGACAACTTTATCATCAAAATAAAATCGAGGAAGAAATCGCGTAAAAAGAGTCAAAAGTGACTTGAAACTTCAAGATCACCTTCCAGTAGAGGTTTGGCCGGCTCAACCGCTTAAACACAGACGTATGAAAGTAGTAGGTGTCACGCAAAAAGTGACTAATTTTGACTGTGCTTTGAAGTGCAGAATCCCTGACTCCATTTCACTCGGATACTCAGAATTTTAATTAAAGACTCGTGAAAATGTCAGAAAAGTCAGCTTGAAGCGAAAAGTACTGTGTACACCGATTCTCCGGCTGAAGGGGGGGGGCGTTTGGGGATGGGGTAATTGAGGCTTACGGTTGCTCGTGCCAGGGCCTTGCATGCAGGGATTATCTAGAAACCTTGTCGCCAAACTGCATCGTATCTTAACTACACACAGCTTGTTTCGTGAGGTTTTACTGGTTCACCAAGTGTGAATCGATAACAGAAGTCAAAAAACACGTATTCTCATCGTGATTATTTGAATTTTTTGTTCTCTTTTACCTTTTGAGGGAAATAATTGAATGCTATTGTTCATTCGTACAGAATTGCTTGCCTTGGATGATAAGAGGTAGCATAGGTGCATGCTAAGAAATGACGCTTATTCGTTTTCTTTTAAAAAATAAAATGCATCAAGAAATCTATATCACAAATCGAGATACGTGTTTTCCTCTTCACTTTTGCTCTTTAAATCCGAATACTTTTACGAGCTCATCATTCTTATATCAATTACCTACATGCACGACAGCAAAGAATGGGGCCATATTATAACCCACCGAAGAGGATTACAATACGTAAAGTGGTACAAGGCCTCCTTCCTGATCAAAACTGCAAATTAAACCCATCGAACATGTATCGAACATTTTCAAAATAAATTCACGATTTAGAAACTTGGCGTCTTAATAAGTACATTAAAATTAGTTAAATATTTCCGTTCTTTAAAAAGCAAACCAAAATCAACATAAGTCGGATTATTCATTGCCATCAAATCGATTGGCAACAAGAGTATAGGTTCTGCAGAACTTACTGTCATTCTTTAATGAGCAGTATTTGTAAATTTGTCGAGAATAATTCAGGATGCTAAGAAAGTTCCTTCATCGTAAAGTGCGTTATTCAGTCATATGTGTGTGGGACTCGAGTATATTTTGATTTTTTCGTAATCGGGAGATTTGCGCTTGCGGGCACAAGAAATTCTCATTTCTTTCTTGTGAGTTAAATCTGGAAATTTGTTAAAAAATATTTACAATTCAAGTTTCGATCCGTGCTTCAACTCAACACCCAGTGAAAATTGGCAATAGGGGAGAGATTGCACGAGGTGGCGGGGAGCCCTCCCTTATTGCTTTGCCTCTTGTGTTTGCTCAAACAATTTCCTTTTCCTTGGCCGCTCCTTCAACAATCTGCCTCTGCAACCCGCAACGCCTCGCTATCGTTCTGCTTTGTCGCGATGTCCTTGTTCCGTCGAAAGAGAAAACAGCGGACCTAGACTTCATGGAACTGAAATTTCCTTCTACGCTTAGAGAGCAGTTTCTATGAAGTTTCCAAATCTATAAGTGTGCAAAAGTATCCCATAAACTCGAACCTCAATATTGAACAGGTACACCTTGCACCTATTCCAAAGTTACACATACATAATGCCTTTCCTTGGGATCTCACGAAAATCATTCATTGCTATTTCCGTAGGAACAATTAATTACACAGTAAATTTTCGCATTTACTGAAGTACATCGACGGTGTAAGTTGGCAATCACATAAATCGCTTGCGGTGTCTGAAAATCTCCGCCTCTACATTATTTTTTTAAAGGAGAACAGATTGACATCATTCCTTGAATTTTTTGCAGAATTTTCTTCGCACAGAGACGAAATATCACGGCAGTTGGCAAGAATTGCCGTTGAGTAGTTTTCCGTTTAAAAAATGAAGTATGACAGGAAGTCTGCGACGTCGCAAACTGAGTTATGTGATTGCCGACTTACACAGTCGATATGCTTTTAATTACAATAATTGAGGGGCTTGGAGGGAGAGGCGCATAAGTGGAGTTTTTGCTATTTCAAGAAAAATGTGTTTAAAGTTTCTAAATTATGTGAAACCCTACGACACAGATAAAGTTCAAACTCACATTTTGATGTTTAAATATTGGATTTAACCGGTAAATTTTTTATACAATTTTTATCAAACCCGAATGTAGTTGAAACCACTTATACCTCAATTCTTTCGAAAACTGCACTTATTGGCCTTGTCCTCCAAGATCCTCAATACAGGGTTTTCAAAGGAAATTGTTCAAGAGAAGGCAGCTGAAATGCGTTTCTACCTATTTAAACTTCCATCACTGCTAAAAATTTAAAACAGAGCCAAGATTGCAATTTTCTGAATTTACGTATAACTGCGTATCGTAAACTACGTGGGGACAGTGGATTTTCCGCTAAAACACTGCAGACACATACACTGGAAAAAAAACACAGTGGATCTAGAGTCCAGACTCTCGAAAACATTGATAAGAAAAAATACTCTTGATTCACTCGGATTATAGCTTGATTCAAAACGAAATCCGCTTAAATTAAGAGACTTGGTTCTTGATTTAAGGTAGATTCTGATTGAATCAAGAGTAATTTTTCTTGTCGATGTTTTTAAGCGTCTGGACTCCAGATCCAATGTGTTTTTTTCCAGTGCACAGATTTACTACGAGATCAGCAAATACTCGAATATTTCTCTGATAAACAATCTGTAACTATTTCTTCTAAGAGTCCAAGTCTGAAAGGAGATTTCAAAGCGACCAAGAATCCCCTGATTTATATATTTGACGCGGTGGAATGAACTTATTCTTGGAGTGTTTGAGGCTCCTTGATGCCATAACGAGGCCTCCTTGAGTGTTGATCGCCAATAAAAACCATCTATCGGCTCTTGGTGCACAGC